AAGACATATAACATGAGAGGGCAGATGAAACTGACAAAACTCACTATTCCAAACTTAGAATCAATCTGTGTGTGTGTGTGTGTGTGTGTCTGTCTGTCTGTCTGTCTGTCTGTCTGTCTCTCTCACATATACACACAAGCACTGAATAAAACATGTTGGTCAATATTATCACAGTTCATATAATAAAAGGTTAAGTAATGCAAAGCAAATGATGATTTGTTTATCACTAATAAATTAGAATTGAGGTATGTTGACTACACTCACCAGCATAGTCTGATCTGTCCCTACTCCTGTTCCCACCTCCCTCAACCTCCCACCGCATCAGAAACTGTATCTGACCCACTCAAGAGGGATTGTCAGTTCTTGGGAACATGTTTTGTTTGTCATCAGAATATCCACTCCTCCACATGGTTCTCGTTTCAGTAAACTGAAACCTCGGCTCTCACTCAATGACCATCTTAATATTCTTGAAGAGAATATTCGGAGGCTGCTGCCCCTTCCACCTCTGGAAAAACTCAAAAATGAAGGCGAGACAGAAAAGGACAAGGAGCACATTCATGTACGTGGGAGAGAGGCCTGAGTAGAATGAAGAACTCAGTGGGACTCTCCTCTCTCGCCTCAGCCTCATGCTCCTCCTCACATTTCATTTCAGTTTCTATATGAACGATCCATGGATGCTCTGGGAAAGCTGCTGAGGACCATGATGTGGGATAATGTGAAAGCAGAGGACTGTCAAGAAATGTTCAGTGTGAGTAGGGCCACCACTCGAGCTGATTTCCATGTCCCCTAATCTGTGCTCCAATACACCACCCCAAATTCTACCTCATCCTCTTCACAGGGAGATGTCCAGCCTGACCCGCTTACCCCACTGCATAGGGCCAGTCCATGTAAAAATTGTTTGTGGGGGGATGAGCACCTGTTACAGAAGAGGCAGGGAAAGAATACGAGTGAGAGAGCGCAAGAGTGAAAGCAAGAATGAGAGAATGCAAATGAGTGAGTTAGGAAGGGTACTAAGGAAAGCACACTCACTCTTTGACCAACAGCTTCTCCGAATGTGGCTAGTTTCACAGAAAGAGTGGGAAAGAGAAAGAGCCTTCCAGATCGCTGCAAAAGTTCTGACACATGATATCGAGGTAAGTAATTCCCTAGAATCAATAGGTTTCGCTGCTTGCTGACAACCAGGGTCTCTTGAGGCTTCTGGAATCCCAAACTCCTATACGATGGATCTCCGATCCCTGACGGAGTGCTTTCTAGAGAGCCACCTGAGAGGTCTCCTAACTCCCGAGTGTGGCAACCACACTAGGATTTAGCTCTTTGGTTGTCTTCATGTGGTTGCTTATTTACTTTTTCACTGAGCTTAAAGGGAAAGTTCAAGATTTAATTTCATTAATATTGAATGTCAACTATAATTATATATATATATATATATATATATACAAGTATACACACACACACACACATATTCACAGGATGTAAAGTAGAGCGTAGGAAAGATAGTCAATGGTATTGTAACAGCTATAGACGATGTCAGAGGGGTAGTAGATTGGGGGGGTTATCACTTTGTGAGTGAGTCTATTACGTTGCTTTGTACACCTGAAACTAATAATAAAAAATTTTTTTAAAGATTCAATTTCATTCTGAAAACCTGCAGGGAGAAAACAGGGACTTAATAGCCAGTGTTGGCAATATCGGGGTATATCATTAAGCCACTCCATCACCTTGGGGGCCTCCTTTATCTTGCAGGCTCCAGAGAACTTTAAAATTGGCTCACTCCTAGGCCTCCTGGCTCCTCACTCCTGTGACACCTTGCCCACCATCCGTCAGGCCGCAGCTAGCTCGGCCATTGGTCTGTTCTGTATAAAAGGTGAGCAAAAGATGAGCAACCCACAAATGAAGAGAAAATATCTATTTTCGTTTGTTTTCAGTTTGTTTTTCTCCTTGTACATCTATGTCTCCTTCTTCTCCTTTCTTGCTCCCTCTCTCTCTCCCTCCCTTCCCATTCCTCTTCCTCCCTCCCTCCCTGCCTCCCCAGTTCAGCCATTTCTAAGTTCTAATACCTTCATTATGTCACAGAATTTGTCTCTTGGATCTTTTTTTCCTCAGTGGCTCTGTTTTTCTATTTTTTTTAAATAAAGATAATAACACCAAAGCATCTTAAAGACCCATTAAAGTAGATAAAATAAACATTTTGAGAGTGTCTGATTTAAATCGCTGAGCAATTGGGCATATTAGCAATGCTTCCTCTATTACATGGTTTTCTTCAGGAGGAAATTGCACTGTTATTATGGTGCTAAGTGACTTTGAAAGTTCTCTAAGAGACATAACTTTGTGGAGGTTTTCCCAGCTTGCATAACAAGACCTCTGTCTGCTCATGTGAATAACTGCCAATATCAGTAAATGTACAGAATTTTAAAATCTCAGTCTTGGACTGAAACCAACACACAGGGCCTTCTGTCCAGGTTAAATTGACAAATGTTTCATGGAGGACAGTCCTGCAATATGTGTGTGTGTAGTCCCATGTAGACCAGGGACAGCCAGGAATGCTTCGTCTCGATTTAGACCCTGCTCATGCCTACGTTCTACTCTTTATTCTGTTAGGTGCCCAGGAAACATTTACTGAGTGCCTTTCCATGTGTCAAGCACTGTTCTGATGCTGGAGACACAGAGACATTACAAGATTCACATTAAAAAAATGTGTGTTAAATCCAAAAGGCAAGATTTGGAGGGTGGAGGTACTCCATCAAAAAGAAAAAAAGTATTCAGCATAGCCAGAATAGGTATGAAAGTCCCTTGGGATATGGGGAGATAGTTCATTAAGGATACTCATATGCTTTTACCAAGCCAGAAAAAAAAAAGTGAATTAAGGAAGTAAGAATTAAGGGACCATTTTAGTAAGAGAAGAAATATGCCAGAACAGGACCTCATAGAAAGGAAGGAATTTGAATTCTATTATTGTTGTACCTTTAGTTTATTTCTCTGAAACATGCAAAGTTCAGGTCCTCAAATACTCACTGTTAACAAGAAATTTCATCCATTATTCACCTTAACTCTTTTTCTTGATTGATCAAATAAGCATGGTAAAGAGAGAAAGAACATGATTATTATACACCCACTATATACAAGTAACTAATGTGATATTAAATTAAATACCCATTTAATATTTATGGATGTTGTTCAGTCAGTGTTGAGATGAGGAACTGGAGGTTAAGATATGTACCAGTTGCTTGGATGCCTGAAAGTTGTAGAACTGAGCTTTGAGTCCAGGTCTGTGTGGTTCCTGAGCCCACGTGTTTTGTGGGCTAGGCTGCCTTCCACCAAATGGCTCCAGTGTGAATTTCCACAGTTACTATACATTCACACAACAAACAGAAAATCATTACTATTTAGATCTACGTTTATAAATCTCTATCAACAATCTCGCAGTTACTGATGTTCTTATTACGATAATTACCTTTCCATTTCCCCCAAAGTGGCTCACCCTAGAGTGGAATTCTAAGAGACAGCAGGACAACAGAGTAGTGAGAGCCTGGGCGTTGGTCTCAGACATATCAGGGTTCAAGTTCCAACTTTCTTATTTTTACTCAGTCATGTGGCCAGAGGGTTTCACATGTCTGCCTCAGTGCTCTCTCATCAGCAAGACAGGGGCAGTGACAGGACAGTCTATCTCAGATGATCCTCCTGAGTAGTAAATTAGGTCATTAGATGCAGAGGGTTTAACATGGTGCCTGGCAGGTAGAAATTACTCAATATATGTTTGTTCTTATGCTCACTGTCTCATCAAACAGTCTTTACTGCATTTATTAAAGGTATCCAGTCACTGAATTAATGTCATATCAAAATACAGCCAGCCTCTTCAACCCCTATCATGCCTTTGAACCCTTACCCATGTCTCCCTTTGTTGATTTTAGGTATTCGCCTGGAAATGGAAAGGCTTCAGGGTTTGCAGGAAGGGCTGCAATGTGAGGATGTGCAGGTCCAGATCAAGATTTCTTCTAAAATAGCAAAGGTAATAGATATGGAGGACTGGCCAAGGGAAATAAAGATGATTCTGGGTTGATTTCCAAATGAGCAAGCTGTGTACACCCCACTACCAAGGAGGAGAACAGTCTAGCCATTCTAGCTGAATGAAAGACCTTTGTCCTATCATTTATGAACTCTGGGTGCGTGTGCCCAGTCAATGCCTGCTGCTGATCATTTCACACTGTGAGAAACCCTGTAAATCAAGCAGCCCTCTCCAGTTTGAGGGAGGCAGTCGGGTGGAGTAGAAGAAAGGGCTTTGGAGCCAATCAGATACACTGTGTGCACTGTTTAAAGCTCAGAATCTTCATCTTCAAAAAAAAAAAAAACCTAACCTACCTCTCAGAGCTGTTATGAGGATTTATTGATCAATTCATTTATTTATTCAATCACACGTTTACTCACCTAATATGCCCTGTGTACCTACCATATGCCAGACTTTGTTCTAAGCTCTAAGAATAGAAAAAAACAAAATGCCTGTCCTCATTGACCTTGCATTCTATCAATAGTAGACAGAGTCAGCCAAATAAGTATCATATCAGGTAGTGATAACTGAGAAAAATAAAGTCAAGTAAAGGAATAGAGAGTAAGGGAAGCATAATCTCCTAGAGAAGGTCATTCTGAAACAGAACCATGGAGACATCTGGGGAAGAACATTCCAGGCAGAGGAGAAACAGCAAGTGCAAAGCCCCTGGGGCAGACAAAGAAGTGGGTAATGAGATCTAAGAGATAGCCCAGGGCTGACCCATTACCTTGCAGGCCTTGTTAAGGACCTTGGTTTTTACTCCAAATGAAATCCAAAGCCAGCAGAGGGTTTTGAGCAGAAGAGTCAGGGCCACTACACACAATAGTGTCAGTTGTGAAATGCACAAAGGCAACCTCATAAGGCGGCATCTTTCCTAACGTAGACATTGTAGATTTATGTGTACAAGTATTTTGGCAACTATCCACAGATGGCAGTAAAAAGTTCAACAAAATCAGTCATTATGACAATATAATTACAGAAAAAAGTGAACTATCTTGACAACAGAACACCTTTTCCTAACTTGCAAAAACCACGTATGGGCTAGTGATGGTTCTGCAAGGAGAACCATGATTAGGCTTATATTTATTTCTAAAGGATCATCTGGAAGCTGTTTTTAAACTAGAATGTAAGCTGGCAAGAGGGAAATTGGTGAAGCCACTTTGGAGGAAACTACCAGAATCCAGGTGTGAGATTACATGTTGTGGACCAAGGTGGCAGCAGCAGTGACGAGAAAGTGATCAGAATATGGGCGAGAAGCAAGCTGGAGAACTGGGGGCACATGTGTCAAATGTCTAAGAAAGTGTCAGACACATGGTAGGTGCTCAAGAACATGAGTTCCCTTCCTTCCTTTCTCCCTAAACCAACATCCGTCCCAGTGTGGTTATGGAAAAAAAGAAGAAAAAACAAAAAAAGCAAGTGGCCATTCCATTGAACTTGGACCCCATGCAGGCAGTTGGTATTACGCAGAAGAGACAGGCTACTCTAGTCCTTTGATCTTGGAACAACGATAAATTACAAACTGGCTGGGACATGCAACTGCTCATGAAAAGAAACTCAGACTCATTTCCTCTCAAAGATGGGTCTACCAAACATCATCAGGCCATTTAATATAGGGGGAAGTCAGTTGTGAATAGTAATGTTTTCATACCTACAGACTCTTGGTTAAAACTCATGACCACCTTGCTTGGTTAAAACCCCAGGTAATACTCCTGGAATTCATTCGAACTGCTAACTTTTCCTCCCTGCCTGCATTTTCATTAACACACACACACACACACACACACACACACTGAAATCAACCAAACATTCTGTATAGTTCTTGTACGTAGAGACCAAAATTGCAAAGTTTTTATTTTATTGACTACTTTTAATATTGAAACATGGAAGAGCAAAAGACAGAGCTCATATAATTCATATTCTGTATGGCTGCCGAGGCAACAGTATTTACCATAGCACTTAGTACAGGGTGATAGATTTTCCTGGATTCTCAAGCCTTAACTCTGCTTTGGAAAACACAAGACATCTCTATGTTATATGAAATGTGTGTGAAGTACTTTGCAACATATAAATTACTATATAAACATTATGCATCATTTTTCCCTTGTGGAGTATACTTTAACTTTAGTTTGGAGAGGAAATTGTCTCAGCAGGCCTGGGATTCGATAAATATGAAATAATGAAAGGCAAATCCAGGGAAAGTTTGCCTAGAGTTAAAAGGTCATGTCTATGCCTTATTTTAATATTTCCTACAGTTTCTATGGCTCCGGTCATATACTCACTCTTTGGCAAGCCCATCGGTCTCTAATATCCTAAAACAAACAGTAACAGCATGTTGTAGGTGTCCAGATATGAAGTGAGGTGGTTGATAACATGCATTTTTCTGGTATGTTCTCAGATTGTCTGTAAACTCATCCCAAGTGAAGAAATTCTCACGTTCCTGGAGGAAACCCTGGATGGTCTGGAGACCCTCAACCCCACATGTACGACAGCCTGTGGCACATGGATGATTGCTGCCCTGAAGGAACAGGGAGCTGCTTTGGAAGATCAGGTGAACTGACAGCCAGTTTGACACCTGAGCAGAATTCTAACCTTTCTGAAATGCCAAGTCAGTCGCCACTTCTCCCTTCGTCCTCTAATGAGCAATATAGGCAGGAGCATGCACAGCCCCAAGTGGTGTATTAACAGCTGAGACCCAAGTGGTGTATTAACAGCCAGGCTCATGTTGAATGCCTGTCTCAAGCTATCTCAATGTGCCTCTCTAGTCTGTGATCATAAAAAAGCTCCAAACTATCACTCGCTGGTTCAGAGGAAGCAGCTCTGAACCAAGGGCATTTGGATTATGGAAAACTGGATTGTTAGATCTGCGAGGGTAAGAGTGACCACGGAATGCCTCTGAGATGGCCATCTGTGGCCAGTAGAGTCTCTAATCCCACTGCCCCTCTTCAGGCTGCTCTTCCACACATCTTAGAATTTATTTTCTGGTAAGGAAGTATGTCTTTGGGAAACTGATTGAGGGGAAAGTTCTCAATCCTTCCTCCCAGCTGGAAAAGGAAGCAGAGTAAACAGGATTTAAATTAAGGAAGCTTGGTTAATAACTCTAAATGTAAAGAGAGAGAGAGAGAGACCGCTCCAAATGGAGCGCTCTTGAATCAGAAACAGAATACAAACAAGTCAAAGATTAATAAGGAGGAAAAGAATCTTTAACTCAATGAAGTTATCTCAAGGAGAATAGGAGAAAGAAGTTATGGTTCCCACAGCCCAGAGTCAACCATCCTAAATTAAAGAATTCTCCAAAGCATGACTTTTAGAAATGACCTCTATGCTAATTACTTTCTAATCAGTTTTTTCAAAAACATTTATTGAGTACATACAGTTGGCAGGCACTGGCCTATAGGCGTGGGAGAATAGAGGTTAATGAATTTAGAACGTTCATTTATTTGTGTGTGTAGCATAAAAGGGAGTTACACACACAATAGGTAAAGGCTCACAAAATAGACTTAAATCCTCTCCAAGAATTACTGAAATGAGACTCCGTAGTAATTATGTTATGCTTAACCTAAAAATGTCTATCAAAAAAAAGCGAGAGAAACATCTACAAAAAGCAAAGTTACTTTAACATAGAGACAGGCCCTTCTCCACGTCAAAATTTCCAATATATAATATCCTTCTATGCTAGCCACAGATTTAACATCCAAACATATGGTGATGGAAGGAGAACTGACTCTGGGTGGTGAACACACAATGCAATATGTAGATGATGTATTATAGAATTGTATACTTGAAACTTATATAATTTTACTAACTAATATCACCCCAATAAATGTAATAGAAATTTTAAAAAATATATCCAAATCCAGAAAAGTGGCCTTCAGTGCCCTCTAGGATCTGGCTTCATCTTTTCTATCAAATGATCTTCCCTTTATCACCCTCATTCTCTCTGTACTCCAAACTGGACCGTGCTCTGGTTCCAGAAGTTCTTTCTGCCTCTGCTTGTGCTCATGCTTTCATGATATTTTTTATATAGACTTTATTTTTTACAGCCATTTTAGGCTCACAGCAAAATTAAGCAGAAGATACAGCGTTCCCATATACCACCTGTCCCCACACACACAGTCTCCTCCACTATCAACATCCCCGCCACAATGATAAATTTATTACAATCGATGGCCCTATGTTGACACATGATATAATTACCCCAAGTCTGTAGTTTACATTAGGGTTCACACTTGGTGTTGACAAATGCATAATAACATGTATCCACCATTATTGTATCATACAAAATAGTTTCACTACCTTAAAAATCCTCTGTGCTCCACCTAGTCTCACGCTTTTTGATTTTACATCTTTACCTGTGTTCTTTCTGATGAGGATGCCTTTCCCCACCATGTCTTTTGAAGTTGCTACATATCCTTCCAGACCCAGACGAGAGATCCCTCCAAAGTGACCTCAGTTACTTCTGGATTCCCCTATCAGTTCTGCGTACCCCTTGTGTACCATTTCGCATACACTGTCATGTGCACACGCCTTTGAGTATATGCCTAATATCCTTTATTAGTCTACCCATTCCTTTTGAGAAAGGTTACATCTTAATCATCTTAGGTAAATTCCCCCACAGTGCCTAACACAATACCTGGCATAATGCAGACTTTCACCAAGAACTCACTAAATAGATTTCAGGATAAATACCCAACTAAACAATAACTCTCCTTGTAATAGATATATACAATGTCAGAGGGGTAATAGATTGGGGGAGGAAGGTTATCACTTTGTGAGGGGTGAAATGCCTAACTATTATATTGCTTTGTACAACTGAAACTAATAATTATATATATAAATATTCATTTTTATAAAAATTTAAAAAATAATTCTCTTGAATAAGAAATAGTCCATGTATAGAATGAGTTATTGTTTTTAACATTTTTTTATAATTCATTAATCACCTATACATAATATGCTGACCATACATGCCCAAAGCCTTTTATGTAGAGGGAAATGGCAACTTAATGTTTCATTTGGCTTTTTTTTTTTTTTTTTTTTTAGCTCTTGGAGATCTTGGGCATAATTTACTATCACATGCCAGTTCTCAGACAAAAGGAGGAAAGTTTTCAGTTTACGCTGGAAGCCATCTCCCAGATAGCCAGCTTCCACACGGATGGAGTTGTCACCAGTCTTTTACAGAAGCCTCTGCCCTTCGACAGGTAGATTCTAACTGAACTGGTCCCTTCCTTGCCCTAGGAAAGGCCACTCTGCAAGGCATCAGGGAAGAATTACGGTTTGGAAGATAGCAAATAAAGGTTGAAAACATTTTTCAACTGAATAATAACTTAAAAATTGGTATTTGAATCATAAGTAATGTTTTTCCAAGTGCTTTACATGTGTGTGTGTGTGTGTGTGTGTGTATGCGTGTGTGTGTGCTCATTGAATGATAATAAGTTTAAATAATAACAATAATGATGATAATAATAATAATAATGATGATGGTAATACAGGGCCGGCTGAGTGATGCATTGGTTAGGAGTTGGCTTGGGACACCAGCTCTGAGCAGCAGGGCCCCGGTTCGGATCCCACATATGAGGGCTAGTGACGCTGCGCCCTCTACAGCTAAGATGGTGAACAACAACTTGACCTGGAGCTGGGCTGCCATGAGCTACCGTGAGTGGCCGGCAGCAGGCGTGAGCTTTCATGAGCCGCTGTGAGCTGCCGTCCAATGGCCCGAGTGACTGCCTCACCCGGAAAGAGTGCAATGATAATACCAACATGGGCCAGTGAAGCAACGTCCTCCACAACTAGACTGAAGAACAAAAGGACAGCAACTTGTCTGTTCCGCTTCCCCGATTCCCCAAAGCTGTTCCCCTCCCCCAGTTCCCCAATAAAATCTTTAAAAAAAATCATAGGAATAATTCTCCTATTTCTGATTGCTTAAAATACACCAATTGAGAGGTTTCTACCTTTATGAACATTAACAAATCTCAGTAACCCAAGGCCAGAATTGTGGGTTGTTAAATAAAACAAAAACAGCCCGAGGCATGTTAGCATGTCCATCTGTCCTTGAAATTTTAATTAGTCATAATGCAGCTTTAGAGTGAGTCAAATGGAAAAGCTCATATTCCAAGGAGTTGTGCCTTATCTGTTTCCTGTCTGGCCACCCTAGGGACACAAAGACACTATGGAAGGCTTTGGCTGAGAACCCGGCCTCCAGTGGTAAGCTCCTGCGAGTCTTAACAAAGAAACTAGAGAGCGGGTTGGAAGATGACCTCGCCGGCATGGATGCGCTTGCAGTGAGTTGGACAACTCGTCACACGCCTGAAACTGGGCCCCACTCCGTGATCATTCTCACCTGTACTTGGTGATGTAGCATTAATCACGTTTCTTCTGCTTTCATGCCCTGGTTTTAAATCAACTCCAGTTGATAACAGACAAAGATGGCAGTAATTTTGTCTGCAACGATTTTTAGAAGCAAATTTCTCATCATCCCAAAGAAAATCTGTGTATCTGTATTTCCTAATTAGTCTTCAAGATATCCAAAGTAGCCTCATTTGTTGAAAGATGCCACTGCTAGAAAAGATTTCACTTTACCTGAGTGGTGCCCCCTGGAGTTTGGAGTCACCCAACATGGCAGGTCTGAGACCCACAGTCTGAGTTGAGAAGTTTCCAGACAAACCCTCCCTTTTTTATGTGTTTTTACCATGAGTGTGGTCGACTTGGAAAGCAATCATAAGGGGAGAAAACAAACTTGATTAGCCCAGTGAGAAGATGTCCTTGGAGGAAAGGAGCCTGCCTGACCACAAGGTCCTCTCTCCCCCAGGTGGCCTGTGCTATCCATGAAGTGGTATCAACAGGCATCCCTGTCACAGGCTTGTACCCAGAGCTGTTCACTCTTCTCCTGAAGCTGGTTAGCTGCACACTGGGCCAGAAGATGCCAACTTCTAGCTTGAGCCACAGGCGGCGAGTGATGCAGCAGGGAGAACGACAGCAGATCGCAGATCCCTGCAGGTAAACGGCCAGGCAGGGAGGGCCTTTCCAAGCTGTCCTGATCCCAGGCTTTAGACAGGGGTCTGCGGAAGTCAAGGCCTGCACCTCGTAGCATGACCTCAACCATACCTGTGAAGAAATAAGGCTCCACCATCTTTAAGTCTTGGAGCAATTCTTCCCTGAGCCAATACCCAGTATAATTGCCTATAATGGTCACGTAACAAATAAGCAGTTATGTCTTCTTCCCTAGAGGGTCCACTCTATTTCCCTTTTTTTCTTTCAATGAGATCTTTCAAGGAAAGCTGTAATTTTTGATAGTCAAGGCCACCAGGGAAAGAAGAAAAATAAAAATATCATATTTCATCAAATCTAAGACCAACTGAAGGAAGCATCCTTATTTTGAATACCATTGATAAAGAAAAAAAGACTCCCAATTAAGCGATGAATCAATGCTTTCTCATACTTCTAAATTTTTATTTTATATTTATCCAAAGAGCTGTTTTAGGGTTATTAGGTATGTATTTTTATCCAACATCACATTGCTCTGTTTCCCTGCCCTTTTGCATAACTTTTCAATCCAATGTCAAATCAACCTTTTAAAAGACAGCTTAAATAGCAGTTAGGTGCTTGACTTTACTAAAATGACAACAGCATAAAGAAGCCATACCTGTATCCATGCATGTACATGCACATTCACAAGGCCACAGTGACTATGTTACAACTACTTTCTGGTCAAGAACTGTAACACACTATCCCTTGTGAGATGCGCCCTGATTTCCAAGGTGCTATTTCAGAATAAGTGAAACATGATATTTTGCCCTTTCCATCCTTAGGGCTTTATTTCTCACGAGAGATTGACAAGATTCTGCAGCATTATTTACCAGCTCAAATTATCTCGAAGCCCCCTTTGACCCCAAAACTAAAGTGCGAGGTCAGGCTGCCTATTTTTCCCTTGCACAACATCCATTAATCCAGGAGTAAGGGAGCATTGTGGGGAATAGGAAGTGTGAACTTGGGAATTCACAATTCCCTGTATGGGGTTGACTTACTTTTGCGATGGTGACTGTCTCCTTCAGGCTCTCAACTACAACCCTGAAGTGTGTGCAAGCCCGAGCCATGAAAGAAGGCCTTGCCAAAGAATCTGATGAAGGGGACAATTTATGGATGCTACTCCACAATCCCGGTACCCACCACACAGGAGTATGTGCACTGGCCAGGTAATATGCAGATATTGTAGAACTGGATACAAAGGAGAAAACTAGAAACAGAGTGAAAATGCAATACAGACAACTTCACTGAGAGCCACTGACCCACCAAGAACTGATAGTCAAAAAGAAGAAACGGGGAACAAAGAGCAAAGGGGGATGGGAAGAGATGGTAGGATCGGCCCCAAATTCACCACTCCCTAAAATAATAGCAATACAATGAACAGTTTTAGGCAAATTGCACTTATATTGGGCACTTGGTAGCCAATTTTTGTTTTCTTTTTTAGCTGAGCCATCCTGCCACCTGTTGGCAGCTCAGCAGTAGCTCAGCAGCAGCTCAGCTTGGGCCAGGAATTGAACCGCTGTTGTTCAGAGCTCAAGCTCTTGAACGAGCTCTTAACCAACTGAGCCACTCGGCCGGCCCTCTTGGTAGCCAATTTCAAAGTTTAAGCCTTGGTGCCCTTTCCTTGAACATTCCTTTTTAGAGAAGTGACTTTCCTGATAGAGAAATAGACTAAAATTTGCTCCATTGTTCAGAAAGAAAAAAGTCTCTGCTACAATCTGGAGTCTTGCGTTTTCTAGGAGCATGGCAGTGTGGCAACATGGAGTCATACTGGAGATCATGAAGCAACTATTCTCATCTCTCACCTCCTCCTCGGAGAACTACCGGATCACTGGCACAGCTTTCTTCTCTGAGGCAAGGGAGGGCAGCCATCACAGCAGGCTCTCTGGGTCCCCAAGGGGTATTTCTCTCAGGGTCAAGGGTTCAGTGGGAGCTGGAACCACAGAAGAGGTGGGACCTTCAAGCGGAGCTTTGGTAGTGGGAAGATGCAGGTACTGCCAGAGACATGGTACCTAAGTAAGGAGTGAGAAAGGAGAAAGAACCTACCCTCAACTTCTTCCTTCCCTCTGGTCTGCAGAAGTCAGAAGAGGGTGGAGAATAAATATGAGAGGGAGAAAACAAAAAGTGAGCAACAAGTATGTTACTGTCGCTTCACACTGTGGGATACAGGCAGTCCCAGCTGACCCAGAGAAGGAACACTGTCAGTCATTCCCTGATTTCCCTGCCCGATTTTTCCATTTAGATTAGAAGCATCTTCTTAAGTAGGTATTCTGTTCTCATCACCATGTAACCTTGACATGTGAGCTGCCTATACCTAGAGCTTAGTTTCTGCAAGACTTGCTCATTAACCAGGGGCTTCTCGCTCCTGTGCTCCAAAAGCAGCTGGGCCCTATTCTTTACGTATAGTTATGGCACCCTCGGCACTCTCCTAAAGGGAGGCTACTCCTTGGCTAAAGGGGAGGAGTGTGTTGATTTCAGCTCATGAAGGAGCCAGTCCTCTGGAAGCACGGGAATCTGCGCGAAGTGCTCATCTTGGTGGATCAGAGTGCCTGGGACCCCAATGCCACTTTGAGACAAATGGCCATCCGAGGCCTCGGGAATGCGGCTTCTGGAGCCCCCCACAAGGTAAACAGAGTTTTCAGTGGAGTTTGAAATCCTCCTTTACCAGCCCACACTTCCCAGCTGCATAGAAACTAAGTGGAAATCCAAATATATTGCTGGAGTGTTGGCTCTTGAGTTAAGGTACATGTGACCTTAACGGAACCTCAGTCCCCTTGTCTGGGGTCTCTTACCCTATTCCAGATACACATTCAACAACTCTTGAGAGTAAGAGACCTTATTTTAAAACAGGTGAAGAAGCATAAGCAGATAATCCTAGAATCTACCATCAGAGGTCTGTATCACCTGGCCCGCACCGAAGTCGTCTGTGAAAGCCTGAAGACTCTAAAAAAGACACTGGAGCTGCTCACAGACCGAGATGTGAGCTTCTACTTCAAAGAAATAGTGCTGCAAACGAGAACCTTCTTTGAAGACGTAAGTGAGCCTGTTCAGAAATCTTCCCTCCCCAGAAGAAGTGAGCAAACAGGAAGTGGTTCAGGTAGCAGACAATGACAGTGTTCCATCCATATTCTTTGGCCCAGAGGTCACCTGTTCTGCGGTCACCTGAATAATTCCTGTGCGGGGTGTTGGCTTCCTCCGTCTCTCTGTCTGCGGGTACTCTCTGGCCCTGGAATCGTATTTGGTCTGAGCAGGGTGGGCCAGACTTATTGGGGAAGGACCTTCAAATGATAAGAAACAAGAGTTTATAGATCAACTCCCAGCTTCCTCACCCCTCAGAAGGCGTGAGCTCCACTTCCCTACAAGGTAACACACTCATTAATATTCCCTTTTGTAACTTGCTTCTCTTCCGTATCTCATTCCCACTCCGCAAGACGCTTCCTGGGCTCACCTCCCAAATAAATTATGTATGCCTAAATTCTTATCTCAAAGTTTGCTTTAGGGGGAACGCACATTATGACAGTACTCAATACAGGATTGGGGCCAAATAAAAATGTTGCTGCCTCTAACACTCTCCTTTCCACATCCAGGATTCAAAGACTCCAAGTCTTTGTGTGTTTCATTTCATCCAGGAGTCGGTATAAACTACAACTTATGGGCCAAATCGACCCAGAACATCTTTTTGTAAATTAACTTTCACTGGAACACAGCCATGCTCATTGGTTGTGTATTGCCTATGGCTGCTTTCACACTTCAACCGCAGAGTTGATTAGTTGTCACAGAAACTGGATGGCCCACAAAGTCTCAATTATTTACTGTCTGGCCTTTTAAGGGAAAAGGTTGTTAACCCCCTGATCTAGTCCATAGCCCTAATCTCAAAAAATATCAGTCAGCGGTCCTGGACAAGGGAAGGTCATTTTTCTTTATAACTTCTGGGAAACTAGATTTTACTATTTATTTTTGGTTTATTCACTGTCATCAGTGTAAAAGTATATTTCATGTCTAACTTGAATCTACTTTTTTTTTTTAACCTAAAACTGTTTTGTCACATTGTGTTGTCAGAGAGGATGGGAAACTGCTACCTGCCTCCTCTGGTGTATCCTTCTAAAACATTAAGGCTTTATTAAATTACCTGTTTACCTCGTCTCCAGAATGGAAAGTCTTCATTTTCTTCATTATTCATCATAAACCAAATTTTTCAGCTCTTTAAGTATTTTGCAAGCCAGTTACTGTGTTATATCTCTAAATGAGACCTAAGAAGTAATGACTAGATCTAAAGAACATTACCTCTGAGATCCACTCTTTTCCTGTTCATTTGCTCCAATTTTGTTTAATCTTGCTCTTTCTTCCTGACACTTCGGCAATTTATTAACCATATGGACCTCTAGATTTTAGCCTACAGTATATACCCACAGTCAATAATTCTCCAGTTTTGTATTTTTCAGTTGCCGTTGTTCACGTGCTAGCCTAAACCTGACCTCTAAAAGCAACTTTCTACTTGTTTTCAACTACTTTCTCCAATGTATCAATATTACTTTTTCTTCTCATCTTATCCTCAAAAGTGCTCACTTGGCTCCCACTCAATTTAGTATCTTCTATAAAATAACAAATATGATTTGATTTTTTTTTCATCACACAGATAATTTGATGATAATCTTTAACAACAAAGGACTGAAGTTACCCTGACAGAGCCCCATCTGTGTATTAGGTTTTCCTGGGTTGTGGTTGATACTGTGATAAAAATTCTCTTGGATCAGAGCCTCTAATAATCACAAGTCCATATACTTGTGGTCAAGATAATGCTTCTCAGTCTTATTGAAGAAGAAAAAAATCTAAAGTCTTGCTGGTTGTTAGGTTACACCCTTCTCCTTCCTAATAGGTATTGATTCTATCACATTTTTGTAAAAATAGAGTTTGATAAACTTGGGTCTTAGCAATGACATGCTATTTATTCTCCAGTAGTGCTTTCTTTCTGCAAACATATTTAACTATACTTTATGATACTTTGCCCCTATAGTTTTCTATAGATGAAGCATACAATTCTGTAATCCCTAAATTCCTCCCACCTTTTTTTTCAATGTTTAAGTACTTTCTTGGAATCCTCAAAATACGGCAACACTTTGATGAAATGGTAAAACAGAAAATATGGATTCTAACCCTTGTTCTAGGCCCCATTCACCTCTATTTCCCACGCTGTCACGCTGAGCAATCACTTTACTCCCTGTGACACCATTTTTCTCAACTCAAAATAAGGACATGAAACTCTAATGCCTTGCCCAGGACCCAAAACACTTTTTTTCACTTCTCTTTTCTGCTCTTTCATCATTCCAATTGGTTGATTCTTTCTATTGTTAGGTCATTAATTTTGGAAAATTCAAAAGATTTTTTTCTAACTGCATATATCTCTACTTTGTGTGTTCTTTATTATTGGTTTGCTGTCTTTTTCTAAAAAAATCACCTTTTAAAATATATGTCCTGACCTCATTCCTAGTATATTTAAAAATGTTTCTACTTCCATTTCTATTATAAGAGGTCACATCTCATATATTCATTTAACTTTTCTGGGCTTTTCCCAAAAAGCCATCTTTATTTTTTCTAGACAATCTTTATTAACTTCTTTGTTCATGGCATTTTTGTTTATATGCTCACTTCTTACACATTTAACTTGCCATCAAAATTAACTACTCTATCTTCTCCTTTATTGGTCCTTGTTTAAGGCTAATCTAAATAATATTTTGCTAGCCAAGATGAATTTTCCCTTCATCCTTCTGCCTTCATATGGGTATTTTAAACTAGTATTTAAATTAGACCTGCCAGCCGAGTGGCTCAGTTGGTTAAAAGCTCGCTCAAGAGTGTGAGCTCTGAGCAACAGGGTCGCCGGTTCAACTCCTGGCCCGAGCTAAGCTGCCAACAGGTGGAAGAATAGTTCAACTTAAAAAAAATAATAATAATAATAAATAAATTAGACCCTAAAAAAAACAAAAACCTCCAGAAAATTCATCAGAGTTTGTTAGAACTCTGAACCATATCAGCAAAGTATCTGAGACAATAGAAGGCCATCTTTCTCCACCACCTTACCCTTTTGTTTTTTAAATCATTGCCTACCATCCAGGACAACAAGCAAGGAAATTCCAGAACTTCACATAGGCAAGAATAGGGATAAGCACTTTGTTTGTTCATCCTTTCTCACTGAGACCCAAAGCGCAAATTCCTGAGCTGACAGTAATTCCTTTAGAAAGTATTTAGGACCTTAGACAAGAGTCCTAGGCCTTGGGCAATTTAGATTAGAGGCCCCATAACTCTAGCTAATGATGCAATCAGGCTGGTTTGAGTAAAGACAAAATAAGCAGGAACCCTCCCTGGCCTTCTGCGCCAGTACTCCCTGTTTATCATTCTTGTGGTCACATTTTCCCAGTAGCCACTCAAAGGCAAAAATCAAGTCTCCAGTTATTTGCTATCACTTAAAGCCTAGGCCCATAGTCATTTAAACTCGTGTAGTGTGTGTTAGAGAGCTGCTGGGAAAGGAAAAGCATTCTTGGATCACATAAGGGCTGTAACCGAAATGCATCAGTTCTTGGATTCCAGCCTTCCTTTGCTGAAGTGGGGCCAGGCAGGATGGGGGCGGGGGAGTGGGAGGTGGATGCCAGGAATGACCTGAAAGGGGGACTCAACCAAGATATGCATCTGTTGCCACAGGATCAGGATGATGTGAGACTGACTGCCATCATCTTATTTGAGAATCTGGCATCCCTAACAGGAAGAAGGTGGAAGATGTTTTTTGCTGAAGAAATTAAAAAGAGCATGATTTCATTCCTTCTCCACCTCTGGGATCCCAATCCCAAAATTGGAAATGTAAGTGGCCCTTGCACAGACACCAGTACTTCCTCTTCTCCCCGTGGCTGAGAAGTGCCAATACGCCTGGTATGGCTGGACAAGAAGCCAGAACTGAAGTTGCCACACTCTTCATTGAACCTGAAAACCACTTCCCCAATCCTGGGTTCTTTCTTGCCATCTCTTCCTGAGTTTGCCCTTCCATTGTTGAAACTGGGAAGATGCCATCACTGACTATAAAGCCGTTTACATCACTGATTTTTGCTGCTCCTTTCCCAACACTAGTCAGCATTTCTTCCCTTTTGGAAGGGAATCTAGCACTATGGACTATGACGCAGAAAACTCTTGTTTTCTAGGCTTGCCGTGATGTCCTGATCACCTCCATTCCTTTTCTGGGCCTCCAGGAACTCTATGGAGTGTTAGATCATCTCCTTGATGCTCAGGACTTGCCGAGGGCCAGGGATTTCTATAGGCAATTCTGTGTGAAACTGGTGAGTGTGTAGTAAACACTGCCTGAAAAAACGCAGGCAAGATCCCTGACAAATCCCAGAAAGGCAGACAGCATGGCCAGGGACCCCTGGCCAGATGCAGAACTGTCTTGGAAGGAAAGCAGTGACTCTTGGTAATTCCATCACACAACCCTCTGCTCTTTTCCCAAACCCTGACTAGAATTCGTTCTCCTAGATTCCGGAAACACATCTGTTGATTAGTCCTATAAGTCTGTCTGATTAAATTTAGGTTGGACTAGCCATAAGACACATTCCAACAGAATAATTAATAGCTGTGTGAGTGCTTGCTGGCTTTTAGATTTCCCTCTTAGGGCCTACAGGATGCTGAATTTCATAAAAGGTCATTTTCCAGGTGCTCTCTTTGTGACACATATGTCTTCTAGGCCAAGAAAAACCAGGAAATCCTGTGGATCCTTCACACACACTCATTCACCTTCTTCAGCAGCAGCTGGGAGGTGATCAGGAGTGCAACTGTCAAACTCACAGGTGAGGGCACACGCACGTTCACTGCTCAGGTATGTCTGCCCTTTGCCACCTAGTTCTGCTTTGACTGGAAGCTACTCCAGTGTGAACACTGGTATGACTGGTACAACCAAAAACAAAAATTAAAGAAAATGTTATGGCTTGCAACATCTCCCCTCAAAGGGACATGTTCTCTTTTGCAAATAAACACTTACATCTTACTTTCTAACACTCGCTCTTTTGCCGTTAGGCCATTCTCCATACTGGGCCCTCTGTGATTCTTCTGGTTCCAAGTCACTGATTCTTCTTTTCCCCAAGTCTTTGCTGTAAGCCTGCTGCCCTTGCCTAAGTGTTTTCCTTTGCATCATCCCTTAATATAAACCATAGTAAACCTTCTAAGCTCAGATCAAGCTGACAGCTTTAGCAGCAGCAACATGACATAAGTGGAAAGCGTGTTGGTGTGGGGACCAGCAGACCTTGGCTTTGCTATGTGATTCTGGACAAGCTTACACACGTTCAAAACCCTGACAGCAACTGGCATACCCCCTGGGTGGGAGGGCACTGTGTGGGCATTCTCAGATACACATCAGGTGAGTAACCACTACCAGACATGGCACTCAAGACCTAATAGACATGACCCTGGGGGTGCACCTGGAGTCATGTAGTTTGTTCATTCACTAGCCAGACCATTTAACTTCTGACCAGGTACAATGTCTGACCTGACTCATTTTTCACAGCGTCTTCCTCTATAATGAAATCAGTACCTTTTTCTCCTGTTGATTTTAGATGCCATTGTTCTCAATTTGACCAACCAATATATGGAGCTATTAGACAGAGAACAACTGACTACACGTGAGTACCAAGCCTAGCTTTTGCCCAGCATATTGTTATATTCATAGAAACAGAGTACCTAATGCTGCTCTTAGTTCCATGTTAGCAATTGAAAATTGTAGTGCCCCATTGTCGCCTCTGGTGTTCCCTAGACATTGGAATTTCTCCACAGTATAAAGTGAGCCCCAGCTCCACCTCTTTGTGGGTATCATGCCCAACTATGGATTTCCAATTTTTTATTGATCATAAGGTCAGAATCTTCTCTTCCTTTATTTCAGTGTTAAAGTAGATTCTCAGCTTGCAACTCCAAATCCTACCCATTAGGGTAAAATGCGAGCAGGGAGCCTGAGGCCACCTAGGACTGACTCTCAATAAGGAGCCTCACACTACTGCACAACCTGGGCCTGGACTTTCCTTACTTACTGGACTTTGCTATTCTTTCCATTTCAGGGCTCCAAGCACTTCTGCAAGATCCCTGTATTAGTGTCCAGAGAGCAGCTGAAGCTGCTTTGCAAACCCTCCTGAGAAGGTGTAAAGAGATAAGCATCCTTCCGTAAACCACCAGTAAATAAACTGCTAGGCTTTTTGTATAACTGACTCCTGTTTGCATACTCATAACTCACAAACTTGCAGGATGCGAATGAAAGGGATGGCGCCTAGGATGGGGATCTTGAAGTGGTGGTATATTCCTTACCCACCAGGGTCCCCCTAGTGGCTTCCACTAGTAAAAAATAAATCCCACAAATTCACTTGAGAGAAAACCTGTGATTTGAGTGGTGACAGCCACATGGCTTTGCACACACAGGTTAGCCCTCTATCTTGGGAAACTCAAATCCCAGCAGATACCCAAAACGACAGAATTTGAAACAATTCAGCTGCCATTAAGAGGGCCGCTGCTTTTGTTCCACACGCAGCTGTTTCCTCTCATATCTTTGCCATCTTTGAATTACTACCCACACTCTTTTTCTAACAAGCAATCATATGATAAATTTTAACCTGTCTGTTCTTTCTCAGGTTGTAATTTATGTGTCAAGACTGTGCCAGGTACTTTTCTATATAAGACTCTTTCTAACATTCTATTAAATCTCATGGTTTCGTCTTCATTTTTATCCCAGAGCATTCCTCCCCTGGAATAGTATGTGTGCACGTGCATGTGTGTGTGCGTGCATGCATGTGTGTATGTGTTTACCTTCTTCATAGCATCATAGAATCATAACTCTTTACTCTTGTCCACAATGTATACCTGAAAAGTTGCATACGTGAAATCACGTACATAACAAGAAATTTCTAACATAGAATCTGGTACCCATTTAATAATACTACCATCATTATTATTCATTAGCAACATTATTAAATTGATGCATCCCGTTACAAATTCCTATACCTATATTCTAATCTCTTCATCTTTGGACTCTGGAGAAGCATCTTTTGTTCCTACAAAACCTTCTAAGGACCACAGGAATCTTTTAGGTCAGAGATAATTTTGGGGCCGGAGTCCATTTATTTATTCATGGCACTATTATAGCCACTGGGGCTACAATTATTAGGGGAAATAATTTTCTTCTACTTTCATGGAGTTTATATTCTATGAAATCTGTATATAAATTCCAGAGGATGGAGCCAACCTCCAGGATGGCCCTCAATGATTCTTCTTGCCTCCTAGTATTCATGTAATCCCCTCTTACAGAGAATAGGAAAATAAAAATCATCTGCACAATCAATACAGTATTTCAGAAATGACAAAGTGTAACTTCCAAGACAAGGTCATAAATGGTATCGCACTCTCTTGAATCATTCACACTGGGAGAAGCCAGCTGCCATGTCATGAGGCCACTCAAGCAGCCCAAAAAAAGTTGTAGAACACAGAAATAATGTCTGCTGCAAACAACCAGAGCTAACTCTCTAGGCATGTTAATGGAAATTAATCTTAGAAATGTATCGATGGGCCCCAGTTAAAGTTTTCAGAGGATTGACACTTCAGCTGATACATTAACTGGATTATGAGATAAAATACAGAATGCCCAATTGAATTTGAATTCAAGATAAACAATTTTTTTTTCAGTAAAAGCATGCCCTGATGATTGCATGGGACATACATATACTAAAGAATTACTTATTGTTTATCTAAAACTCAAATTTAATTGAGCATCTTGTACTTTTACTTGTTAAATCTGACAAGCTTACTGCAATCTAATGAGAGTCCTGAGCCAGAATCACTAAGCTAAACTACTCCTGAATTCCATGAGATCCAAGATGACGGAGCAGATAAACACTGTACCTGCTTCCTTCCATGAACACATCAAAATTACAACTAAATTGTAGAACAATCAACCTAAAGAACTGTCTGAAGTCTAGCTGAACAGAAGTTTTATAACTAAGGACATAAAAAGGAGCCACATAGAGACTGGTAGGAGGGGCAGAGATGTGAAGCGGGCTGGCCCCTGAACGTCCGTGTGGCAATTAAAAATAAGGAAAGATATCTTGGCCACAGAGTTTCCCCACAAAGGAGTGAGGGACACCAGCCCCTCACACCAGGTTCCCCAGCCTAGAGTACTGGTACCAGGCGTATCTGGTTATGAGAAACAGCAGGAGTTCCGAACATCTGGGTGGGACAGAAGGCAGTGGGAAACCCAAACATCTTTTTAAAGGACCCATAGAGGCACTCACCCTGAGCTCCGGCAGAGAGACAGTGACTCTGGGACATCGGAGACATAGGGAGAGAGAATGAGCGGTGTAACATCAGGTCAAGGACTGGAGGGACAGTCCCCATTTTCCCTGTGTGGGGGCCCTCTGCCTGTGCAGCCCACAGGCTAGCACCACCTTTCCTGTGTTGAGCCCATTCCCACAGGCCAAATCTGAAACTGATTGGTCTGGTGAACCCTGCTGCTCCAACCTGCTGACTCACTGAGACCCTGCCTTACCCAATTTGCATACTGCAGGACGCTTTATCAGCAGCTGAACCTTATGGGAGCCAGCAAGTGGCAGCAGAACTTGGAGTGTCCTGGTTTTTTGTGGTTTTATGGCAGACCTGGTACCAGTAGCAGCCAACCTCGGTTCACAGAATGCTCTTTCCCACACACCACCAGGTACATCACAGGCAGCAACCAACTGTGGATTCTTCTACAGCTTCTACCAGGTAGTCCCCGGCTTGTCACAGGTAGTGGCTAACCTGGGCCTGCCCCAGAGTCCCTCCCAAGAGACCCCAGAACAAACATACTTGGAAGTTGGCTTCAGACCACAGCAGAGTACCACCCAATTAGCCCCATAAGCAGCACACACAAAGGGCAGTTTCAACAGGCTCCAGGGCCCGCTGGGGAAAATCCCAATCTGTAGGGTAAGCCCCACACACAGCAGCCCATCAGCTGTGGAAGTGACCAAACCCCACAGCCAGTCAGCCTGAGGTCAATATACCCATTGACATACCAATAGCAATCAAGGCTCAACTATAACAGGAGGGCACACACAACTCACACAAGGGACACTCCTGGAGCACCTGGCTCAGATGGCACTGGATCCCACAGGACACCAACTACATAAGGCCACCTGGCAAGACTGGAAGATATAGCAACCCTACCAAATACATAGAAACAAACACAGAGAGGCAGCCAAAATGAGGAAACAAAGAAATACGTCCCAACTGAAAGAACAGGAGAAAACTATAGGAAAAGAACCAAACAAAATGGAGGCAAGCAACCTACCAGATACAGAGTTCAAAACAATGTTTATAAGAAATCTCAAAGAACCTAGTGAGAACTTCAACAAAGAGATAGCAAGCATAAAAAAGGACATAGAAACCATAAAAAAGAACTAGTCGGAAGAATACAATACCTGAAATGAAGAATGCAATAGAAGGAATTCCTGCAGGCTAGATGAAGCAGAGGATCAAATCAGTGATTTACAAGACAAGATAGCAGACTTCTTAGACAACATCAAGTGTAACAACATTCAAATGATAGGGGTTCCAGAATGAGAAGAGAGAAAGCAAGGGATTGAGAACCTATTTGAAGACACAATAACTGAAAACTTTCCTAACCTGGTGAAGAAAATAAACATGCAAGCTCAGGAAGAACAGAGTCCCAAAAAAGATGAACCCAAACAGGCCCACACCAAGACACATCATAAGTAAAATGCCAAAGGTTAAATACAAAGAAAGAATCTTAAAAGCAGCAAGAGAAAAGCAGTTAGTTACCTACAAGGGAACTCCCATAAGACTATCAGCTGATTTCTCAATAGCAACTTTGCAGGACAGAAGGGATTGGCAGGAAATATTCAAAGTAATTAAAAACAAGGACCTACAACCAAGGGTACTCTATCCAACAAGGATATCATTTAAAATTGAAGGATAATAGCTTCCCAGACAAGGAAAAGCTACGGGAGTTCATCACCACCAAACCAGTATTACAAGAGATGTTAGAGGGACTTATTTGAGACAGAAAAAAAAATAATAAAAACTATGAATAGGGCTGGCTGGGTGGCTCACTTGGTTAAGAGTTAGCTTAAGAGTGCTAGTTCTGAGCAACAGGGCCACCAGTTCCATTCCCATATGGGCCAGTGACGCTGCCCCTGAGCTGAGCTGCCACTGAGCTGCTAACAGGTGGTAGGATGGCTCAGCTGGTGAGAGCACGTGCTCCTAACAACAAGACTGCCTGTCAATGGTTGGCTATGCCCACCTGCAACTAAAATTTAACTCGGCACCTTGAGCTGAGCTGTCACCCAGATGGCTCAGTGGATAGAGCATGCACTCTTAACAACAAGGCTGCCGGATTGTACTCCCACATGGGATAGTGGCTACACCCACCCGCAACTAAGATTGTAACATAGCACCTTGAGCTTAGAGGCCACGAGCCGCCGACAGGCAGCCAGATGGCGAATGGCGCCCACCACAACTAAGATTGAAGAACAACAACTTGGCTGGTCCCCCTCCCCAATTCCCCAACACTATTCCCCTCCCCTAATTCTCCAATTATAAATAAATAAATAAATAAATAAATAAATAAATAAATAAATACATAAACAAATAAATAAATAAATAAATAAAATTATGAATAAAATGGGAATACTATGTATCTATCAACAATTGCTTAATGTAATTGGATTAAATGCTCCAATCAAAAACATACGGTAGCTGAATGGATAAGAAAAAAAGACCCTTACATGTGCTGCCTACAAGAGACTCACTTCAGATTGAAAGACACACACAGACTGAAAGTAAAGTGAGGAAAAAAGTTATTTCACGAAAATGGAAACAACAACAACAACAGCAAAACTGGGCAGCAATACTCATACCAGGCAAAATAGACTTTACAAAAAAGGCTAAGCAAGAGACAAAGAATGGCCCAGTAATCCCATTTTCTGGTATTTATCAGAAAAAAAACCAAAACATTACTTTGAGGTGACATGTGCATCCATATGTTCATTGCAGCATTGTTTACAATGGCCAAGATGTGGAGGCAGCCTGGGTGTCTGTCGATGGAAGGATGGATAAGAGTAGGTGGTACATTATAAACAATGGAATATTGTTCAGCCATGGAAGAGAATGCATCCTTGCCATCCGTGG